TGAACCCAGGAGCTGGATGCCAGCCTGGGTAAAATGACAAGATCTGGTCTCAAAGTAAATGAATAGTTATTAAGCCACATTATCAATACAGTGGTCAGGCATGGCGACTGCCTTGGGGGAGCCAGAGACATCTTTGGTTAGAGGGAGTTGGAGGCCAATCTGGGGCTCCAGAAAACAATCTCAAAAAAAAAAAAAACAAAAACAAAAACAAAACAAAACAAAAAACAATGGGGCTGGAGAGATGGCTCAGTGGTTAAGAGCACCGACTGCTCTTCCAGAAGACTCGGGTTCAATTCCCAGCAACCACATGGCAGCTCACAACTGTCTGTAACTCCAAAATCATGACAAAGATGTACATGCAGGCAAAATGCCAATGCACATAAAATAAAAATAAATTATTTAAAGAAAACAAATGAAAAATAAGAGGAAGACTAAAGTAAATGTTTCCTAGCACCCAGAGAGAAAGGCTCACAACTGCTTCTAACTTCTGGTATCCAAGGGCACCTATACATGTACATATAACCTCACAGAGAAACACGCAAGTAGATATAAAAACCTCTCAGAAGACATGCAGATAAAAGCCAGAAGTGATGGTGCATGCCTGTAATCCCAGAACCTGGAAGGCTCAAGACCAGCCTAGGTGAGATAGTGGGTACCAGAGGAGGAAAAAAGGATAGATCAGATACTAAAGCACATACAAGGTCAACAGGAGTTGGGTGCAGTGAGGTATGCCTGTCATTTCTGCACTAGAGGCTGAGGTAGAAGGACGGAGAATTCAAGGTCAGCCTGGGGCTACCCAAGAAACTAAAACCCGCTGGTGAAGTCTCTAGAAGCAACTGAAATCCCCTGGTTCCAGCACAGAAAGTGCAGGAGAAAAGCTACACTGGAAACAAGGAGAGCGCCACAGACATCCAAAACACCACCACAGGTCCTAGACCACGACAACAGTCTTGAAGATGAAGTTTCTGGACAGGATCGAGGGACATTTAATAAATCTAAAGCTGATACAATTCACTGACAGCAGCTGGGTGTGGTGGCACAAGAAATACCTACTAACTAAAGCTGGTACAATGTGCTGACAGAAACTGGGTGTGGAGGCACATGCCAGTAATACCAGCATTTAGGTGGTGAGGCAGAAGATGAAGTCTGAGGTCAGCCTGAGCTACACAGTGAATTCAGGGCCAGCCTAGACCACACAGCAAGATCCTACCAAGCACAGGCATGGGGCTAGGGAGACGTCGCTGCAGTTAAGGTGGAGAACTGCTCTTTCAGAGGACCTGAGTTTGGTCCCTAACACCCATGTCTGGAGGTTCCCAACAGCGTGTAACTCTAGTCTGTTTTGTGTGTGTGTGTGTGTGGTGTCCAACACCTCTAGCTTCTAAGGGCAACTCCACTAAAATGTACATACCCACACTCTAGCACACACACACACACACACACACACACACACACACACACACACACACGCAGTTAAAAATAAGTCTCTTAATATTCTCCAACTCTGCTACCTCTTACAGTCTCTACCCACATGCAGCTAATGAGCATTTGAAACTTAGTAACAACAAGGAGTTTAACCTTTAATTTTGTGTCATTTTAACTAATTTAAATAAGTGGCTGCTGTATCAGACAACACAGTTCTAGCTTAGTCATCTAACTTAAAATATATGACAGGATAACAAACTTGTGTAACAATATACAACAGGGACATTCAGAATGGGGAAATAAATTCCCATCGATGCGAAGATGTTCAAAGCATATTAAGAAACATGTATTTTAGGATAATATGAATAACATCACAGTTTTCAGTTTTTAGAAACTACAGAACAGGGTATATATAATGGCCCACAACTGTAGTCCCAGAATCTGGAGACTGACAAGCTCAGAACTCGAGACTACAAAGGAAGCACTATCTCAAAAGCCAAGGACTAGATCCGACTCAGTAATAGAGCCCTTGTCTAGCGTGTGAGAATTTCTGGAGTTCTTTATCTAGTACTGTAACAAACTAACTCCATGCAAAGAAAATAAGTCCAGTGCTAGGAGTATGGCTCACCGGTGGAGTGCTTACCTAGCACACTTGAGGCCCTAGGTTCAATCCCAACACAGCCAAAATAAATAAAGACAACCATAATAAATCAAACAGTGGTTACCCTAAACATGGCAGGGACCTTCCTATTTTCTTTCTTACTTAGAGTCCCGGTTTAAAACAAAACAAAGCAAACCAAAACAAAAGACACCAATTATCTTTCTATCGGAAGAGAAAACACAGGAGTTAAAACAACTCCCTGGGCAGAGGGTACAGCTTCAGTGGTGGAGTATGTGCCTGTGCCTGGTTCAATCCCCAGCACCAGAAACACAAATCAAACACAAACCAAACACTGTTTCCAAGCTTAACCCATACAATGTCTTCAATGCTTTTACTACACGGGTGCTTAACGTGATCACAACGGCAGGAAAATAGGAGCAACACGGAGAAGAGCAGATTACACTCCGAGGACAACAATGACGACCTTTCCAAAACATTCCACAAGATTTATGTTAAGTCTCAAACCCAGGACAAATGGCTGAGGTGCCTATTTAAGGTATCAAAGTGGACCTGGCTACCAGGTTCTCCCTGCATCCTTCAGTACCTACCTGTTACAGAGTATGCTTGGCACATCCCACCCCCTATCCTAAACTTCTCTAGCCCAGGGGCTGGGCTGCCCTTCCTATATAATCCAACCATTTTGGTTACTTGGTCTCTTTTGTCTACTCTTTACCCTCCTGGCCTCTTGGTCAGGCTCCCCCCTTCCTCCCAGGCCCAGCTCAGTCTGGTCATGTCCACTCTGGACTCTCCATGATGTCCCTGCTTCTGGTTACATTCCCCTTTTATCTACAATAAACTTTCTCCTCCACTGTACAAAGGACCAGTCACATCCTTTCCTTATTTCTTTTTTCATTCAATATATAAAATACTGTAGTACCAAATTATTTTTTCCTGTACTAATACGAGATGTATGTGTGCCTTAGGATCACACTTAAAGAACAAAATATGACAAAAATATATTCAATCGTATTATATTTAAAACCACTTTATTCCTACAGCAAGTCCAGGGTACTGGGGCATTTTTCACAAATGGATATCCTGGCTGGGCAAGGTGGCACAGGCCTGTGAGCCCAGCACTCCATAGGCTGAGTGAGGTGCGAGGATTTCCATGAGCCCCAAGCCAGCCTGGGCTGAGATCTTGTCTCAAAAAAATGGGAAAAGAATTCTAATATCAGTCATGAGAACTTAACCCTTTAAAGTCCCAAACTTTAGTCTTTAACTCTGGGAGGATTTTCCCTGAAATGTAACTATGCATTTGCACCTTCAACCAGTATGGAATTGAATCCTCACTTGACATTTGGGAGTCATCATTATTCCCAACACCAACTGTTGGGTCCAATATTTTGAACTTCAATCACTAGCATTTAGTGAAGGAACACAGCCCTTTTAGAGTCTCAGCATATAGGCTAGTCTCAAACTGGCAATCATGCCTCAGCCTTCTAGGTGATCGAATCACAGGCAAGCTGCCTATTCCCTTTGAAAACCACCCTAGATTGCTACATACGAATCTGCTTCTCTCCACCTGCATCGTACCCAGACCATTCAGCAGGCCAGGTGTGCATTCTCCTACTGAGCTATAGCCAAAGCCCACGTTTTATTCTTTTGTGTGCATCAGCTGTGTTCACTGACTAGGGCACTTCTATCTGCTGCCTTTAGTTTCACCCTGGGAAACAACATAATTAGTTAGAATTCTAGGCAAAATGAGTAGTTACTATGGGAGCATTAAGGCCCTCCTACAGGAAATACATTCCACGGAGAGTGGTGGCTCATGCCTGTGACCCCAGCACTTAGGGAGACTGAGGCAGGAGAAATGACACGAGTTCAACTAGCCTGGGCTACACAATGAGTCCCAGGCTAGCCTGCATCAGTCTAGGAACCAAAAAGAATGTTTCATGACATCGGTTATGGGCTGCTGAGGACTCTAGCCTCTTACTAACTCCTTCCTAATACCATCTCTCTCTCTCTCTCTCTCTCTCTCTCTCTCTCTCTGTGTGTGTGTGTGTGTGTGTGTGTGTGTGTGTGTGTGAGGGAAGAGATTGAACCCAGGGCCTTGCACATGCTAACTATTATGGACACTACAATGAAATATCCCTCTGCCCCCTCACTGTTTCACACGAGATGGGAGAATTCCACAACCCTTTAATTCCATGCCAGTCAGGTGCTGCGGCTCTATCAGTCCTTTCTAATAAGGTCCGATTTCCGTCGTCACTAAGCGCAACGAAATTAGGGATGCGAGTGGGAATCGGAAGGTCTAGTTAACTAAAGAAGTAACGATGGCAATGACAACTAAAATTCACGCAGCTTGCCCGGCTCGCGCTCTGTCAGAAACGCATGTCAACAGCTGAGTGTTTCTCGCTAGCCCCGGCACGGGAGCAGGTAACAAAAGCAGGCGGGTTCTGAAGTCAACAGAGCAGAAAAACGAGGCGCTGCCACCGATCTCAAGGGGGACGTGTGGAAACGCGGGCAGAGTGAACTTCTGTTGAGATGGATCGAGCACCCCCTCCACCCTCCACGCACACCGGAAGTTTTGAAATATCCTGCAGGCTCCCACAGGCAGAGTGGCTTCCCTCCGCCGCCGCGCAGGGCCCTGGGTGGGCAAGGGGAGCTCTCCGTGTCTGCAGCACCGGGGCTCGGCGGGCCACCAGCCAGGAGCCAGGCCGTCAATCACAGCCCGCGCTGGCAGCCGCGTCCCCGCCGCCCGCGAGCCGGAGCCGGAGCCGGGCAGCGGGCAGGTGGCGGCACCTGCGGCCGCGACCCAATCGGGCTGTTCCGGCTCGGCGGGCCAGGCCCGGAGCCGCGCGAGCCCTGGGGCGGTGAAGCCCTCGGACCGTCGTCGTCCCGAGGGAGGCCAAGCGACAGGCCCGGCCACGCCAACTCCGCTCCCCTCCCGGGGCCCGGCTCGGCGCGCGCCGCTCACCGAAGAAGCCCTGCACGATCCCGAGCGGGTGGCTCAGCCAGTCTTCTCCACAGGGCATGGCGCTGATGAGAGCCGGGGCCAGCGCGGCCCGTGCGGCGCTGCTCCTCCGTGGGCCGAGCGCGCGCGGCACCCGGCGGCTCCTCGGGGGGCTCGTCCGCGCCCTCCCACGCGCGGGGGGCGTCGCGAGCCGCCGGCCTCCGGGAGAGGCGGCCGCGGGGACGAGCGCCTCCGAGCTGCTGGCCAGCGGCGGGAGCGGCGCGATGGCCCCTGCCTCCACTTCTCACAATGGCGGGAAATCGCGGCCACCGACCGCGCTGCCAGCGACCTGGGTGGAGCTCGAGAGGGAGGGGCGGCGGGAGCGTGCTGCGCAGTCCCGGAGGGGAGGGAGTGGGCGGGGCGGGGCGGGGCGGGGCGGCCATTTTGGAGACGGGTAGAGACCCGGCAGTCGCGCGGCCGCCATCTTGGAGATGGGCAGAGGAAAGAGACCGTGTGCTCTGTGTGGCGTAGTCGAAGTCACCGTGGGAGCGCGTTGATGGGAAAACTCCATCAGGCTGCCTCATTGGCTCAAAGTTTGCGTCCTTGCCCAAGGACCAAGAGGCGCAAGCTCACCCAGGCCTTGGCGTCAGCTCTGAACAAAATTAAGGGGTGAAACTCCGTTTGGTGTCCCCCGCAACCTGATCTGTTTGTGACTTTTTTTTTCTTGTAGTTCTGGTGCTAGAACTCTTCTATGGCACCCTGCCCAAATGCCTGTGTAAGAACTTGTCCCAGACTCAATGAGTTCTTCCTGAACGATTTAATTAAGGAGCCTTTTAAATCAAGGGTGCATTGCGGCCTTTATGGGCATCTCAGTATTGCAGAGGAACTGGTTCCTCCCTCATGGAGAAGCAAGCACTCAGAACTCTCTTCTGGCCCAGCCTTTAGTTTCTGACCTGGAAAACACTCAGGCGCGCTTCTTCCTCCAACCTGGTAACTAGGGAGCTGTGGCAAGATACCCACGCACCATAGCGATCGGGATACTCTAAGAGGGGAGACCCAGAAGGGCAACTCACAAAAACTTTTAGCCTAGGGAATTTAGGAATTGTACAAGTTTTCATAAAGAAACCATTTCCCCACTGTATGGGAGGTACCTCAGAAAACCCTAGTTTCATCATCGATACCTACTTGGCAAAAAAAAAAAAAAAAAAAAAAAGAACGGTGATCTAAATGGAATCTAGAAAGTAGATAGCTGAAGAGTAAGAACTGCTCAGTGGTAGAGCACTTGCCTGGCATGCAAGAAGTCCTGGGTTTAATCCCTAGCAAGGGATAAAAGGGGAAGAGAGGACAGCAGGTAAGCAGCTGGACTGAGCCCCGAGACTGCCCTCCGGAGGGCAGTAGGGAAAGGGAACAAAACCTGCCCCTCTTGGTCCCCTGTTCTTCACTGCACACCCGTTGATGAGGGAGAGCTGACAGGCGTTGTCTCTAAACCCCAGCACCTGGGAGATACAGGCAAGGAAGGTCAGGTGTTCACAGTCTGCCTTGGCTACATACCCAGTTTGGGGCTAGCCTGAGCTATATATGACCCCGTCTCATAAAAAAAAAAAAGTTTAGGAACATGTATGCCACAGGTTTATGAACAACCGAGGAAGAATAACTTAAAGTGCCTTATAATTGGGGGCTGTGTAGCTGTCCTCCGCAGAGAACAATACATCTGTAGAGAAACGACAGAAGAAAGTAGTTCTCAGTTCTCAAAGGCAACAGGTTGCAGGACATCAAAATGTGAAAGGTTCATGCTAGACACAGTTGAGTAGTGTGTAAAGCCTTTCAATCTCTGGCTGGGTGGTGGTGGCCACGCCTTTAATCCCAGCACTCAGGAGCCAGAGACAGGTGGATCTCAGTGAGTTCGAGGCCAGCCTGGGCTACAGAGTGAGTTCCAGGACAGGTACCAAAACAACACGGAGAAACCCTGTCTCAGGAAAAAAAAAAAAAAAGAAGAAGAAGAAAGATAAAGAAAAAAGAAAAATCAAAGCTAAAGCTATGTGCTAGGATATCTAGCTTTAGGGATTTTATTTATTTATTTATTTATTTATTTATTTATTTATTTATTTATTTATTTATTTATATTGTTGTAGCTTTAGGGATTTTATTTATTTATTTATTTATTTATTTATTTATTTATTTATTTATTTATTTATATTGTTGTAGCCTAGGTTTCCTTGACTCACTATGTAGTCCAGGCTGAGCTACATCTCCAGTCCCCATCAATAGACCCTTTTTTTGTGTGTGAGAAGGTGGGCACTTTTTCAAGACAAGTGTAGCCCTGGCTGTCCTGGAACTCACTCTGTAGACCAGGCTGACCTTGAACTCAGAGATCCGCTTGTCTCTGTCTCCTGAGTGCTGGGATTAAAGGCGTGTGCCACCACCGCCTGGCTTCCCCATTAATGGACTATCTATCTATCTATCTGATGGTGTTATTGGGAGTGGAGTCCATGAAGGGAACTGATTAGAAGGCCACTGAGGGCATGACTTTGAAGGGTATATCTTGTTCTGGGCCCTTTTCGGTCCTTTTTCTCTCCTTACTGTTCAGCTTTCTTTTCTTCCTGTTGTGGTCTAAAATGAAAAAATACCGTATGTTGAAGTTAATTACTCAAGGTGACAGTTTTGGAATTTGGGCTTTTCCGAGGTGACTGCACAGGCGAGCTGTCAGGAAAGTTGTCCCTGCACTTAGAAAGAGGCCAAGGAGCTGTTTTTCAGCTTTCAGTTTTAGTTTTTCTTTCTCAGGGAAGCTTTTTATCACTTCAGACTGAGTCGGTTCTTTGCTAATGGTCTGATGGAGAGAGATACATGTTCTCTCCTCATGGAATGTTTAGACCTCTGTCCCCTGATAATGACAGTGTTACAGGAAACACACTTAAGGAAAGTCTGCAGGTAATTGTCAGTATGTATTTAGTCGATTGTTTTGCCAGACTGTAAACTCCAAAAAAGGAGGGCTCTCAGGTCTGTTTCATACATCACTCTCTGCCTTGGCCAATCGCTAGAACTCATTCTGTGGACCAGGCTGCCTTCGAACTCAGAGATTCACTGGCCTCTGCCTCCTGAGTGCTGAGTTTAAAGGCGTGAGCCATCATCCGCACACATTCAAGGAGATAGTATGCTGGAGTGGCGGCACATGCCTTTAAAGCACTTGGAAGAGGCAATCGGATCTCTGAGAATTCCAGGCGACATGAGACCCTGTCTCCAAATAAATAAATAAATAAAGATAGAAGAATTGCTGCGTGTGGTAGTATTAATCTCAGGACTGGAAGAGCTGAGGTAGGAGGACGAAGACCAGTCTGGGCTACATAGCGAGATCCTGCCTCGCATGCAAGCAAGCAAACAAACAAAAGCCCAGATAGCCCATGAGAAACTCAGGCAGTCCAGCGCCACCGAGGACCTGCGACTTTCAGCGTCCACTAGTGCTTGGATTCAGAACCCGCAGCGGCCACGCCCCTCTACGCTGTGGTTCCGGCATCCGACCTAGTCTCGAGAAGCCGCAGGTGTCACGTGATAGGCCCGGGCCTGAAGCCGGTTCCGCCTTATTGCTTTTGGGCGGCTCCAGCTTCCGGAAGAAAAACGGGTCCCTCAGTAGCTCCCCGGCCTGTGGCCCCCGTGCGCAAGTGCGGAAGTGCGGTGGCACCCTGGGTGATCGGTTTCCGGTCTGCGGTGCAGGACCGGGCTCCTAGAGCCACGTAACGGCCGGGGGTCTGCAGCCATGGCGGAGAGGAAGGCTAACGGTGGCGGAGCGTCCGTCTCCTCGTCGGGCACTAACTTACTCTTCTCCTCCTCGGCCACGGAGCTCAGCTTCAACGTGCCCTTCATCCCCGTCACGCAGGCCGCCGCCTCCCCGGCTTCCCTGCTCTTGCCCGGAGGTAGTGAGCCGAGGGCGCTTGGGGGCCAGTGTGTGCTCGGAGGAGGGTGGGACAGGAGCGTCGCCTTCTCTGGGCCGCCTTTTCGGGCCACCAGTGACCAGCTTCCAGAGGGTCAGGGACTGTGCGATCCTGGAGGAGGGGCCCCGGTGATGGGGCTTGCTCTCGGTCCAAGGAACCCCTGTCGTTGCACAAGCTTTTGGTGAACACCCACTGGTGTGCACAAGTTTTTGTTGAACACCCACTGGTGTGCTGGGTGCTGGCAGAGAATGCCGCTAAATTAGTTACCCTCTGCTAGAATACCGCAAGCTACCTTACTGGGGAACCCCCGTGATAGGGGCAGGGCATCACCTAGGAGACAGTAAGCTGTCGCCACTGGGGACAGTGCCCCTCTTTGTAGTATAAACTCTCTCCTAGAAGACGACTCCGGGTTTCAGGAGGATACCTCCTAGGATAGACAGCGCTTCCTATTAGGATTGATAAGTAATATCCGAAATGGAAGTACAGAATGCGTTTCTCATTTTTTCAAGGTATCACTTCCTCCGAGTTTTTCCTTGTTAGGCTCCCACACCTGCTTTCACCTCCTTTTGTGTATTGTCTGGGAAGATTGATTTTTGGATGAAACTGTAGTGGTTAGGAGCACAGACTGTGTTCCACACCAGGCCCTGCCACTAACTTGCTGGGTGGCCTCAGGCATGACATTTTACCCATCTACTTAAATTTCATGTTTTCAGCCCTCCCACCCCCACACACACCCCTTTGAGACAGGGTCTCTACGTTGTCCTGGTTCTCCTGGAACTCACTATGTAAAGGAGGTTGGCCTCAAACTCACAGAGATCCTACTGCTTCTACCTCTGAGTGCTGAGATTAAAGGTGTGTGCCGCCATGGCCGGCCTCGTTTCTGTAAATATTTGTGAGCTAAGTACCTCTGCCTCTCCATTTGGACTGTGAACTTCTTTGCTCTTCGATTTGCAGGGTCTTGTTTAGTGCCTAGCACATAGGTCCTAACCAAATGCTGACCTTTTTCCCCTAAATAATTCCTGCTTGGAAGACTAGGGCCGTTTGCTGGAGAAGGGAAGGAAGGCACACTGCATATGAAGGTTCCCCTTTCTGTCCTTTCTTCTTGGTGCTCGTAACTCTCTGTGCACACACACCTTTTTATCCTACCTGGCCAGAGTGCAGGCTTCATTAGTTCTAGCCACAGCTATAGCCTACTGCCTAGAGTGCAGAATCCGTAATATCCCGTGGCTTTGTTGAGTGTGTGTGTGTACGTGAGCACAGTTGCCCTCAGAGGC